GAATAGACACTATAATGATCTGGTGCATTCTCGCACAGGCGTGAATAGAACTACCGACTCAGACGAAGGGTAAAAATAACTCTTTATTAATTCAAAATAATTAACAGAAGGACACTGTCTTCGTGCGTTACGAAAACCACTGTCAACTTGGGGTGGAAACTAAACGTAGAATGTAAGTCAAACCTGAAATAAATAGAGCAAGATAGCACTTAAGTTGCACCTAAGAGGTGGACTCACAAAAAACTAACCGGCGTGAGGCTAAATCTGATAAGGCCAAAAGGCGTATCGTAACAGCAAAATAACAATGAAACGTGCGTTTGGCTAGCGAAACACGCTGTGAATAAACTGAGATATTCAAACGTTTAAATAAGTACTTAACTTTAAATTTACATCTTGACGAGAGAATGTGAGGGGAAGTTGAGACGTATAAAACAGGTATTAAACTTAAAATAAATTTGTTATGCAAAATAAGAAAACCCCTACAATACTAGTTTAAAAAATAACTACTTTGAGATATTGAGATATTGTACGATTATCTCGGAAGAAATTTAATCGTTTTGTTTTATTTGTTCTGATAATAATAAATTTTTATTCACTTTTCATCGGACTTGTGCATTCAATTTATTACGAACCCGTACGCACGCAACAGTATCTACACACCATAAGATAACCTCAGTTCTAGATCGAGTCATGCACTCCTAGTTCGAAACATGCGGAATACCATATGCAGCAAAGGTCGAGTAGTTGCGGTTAATATCTACATCAAATGTCGTCAAAGGTAGTGTTAATGTTACCATGCTGTTAACATCTACATCTAAATTTCTAGAAATTTGGGAAACGAGGCTATTATAGTGGTATTAACGGAGGACTGTGATTTCCGACTATTAAAAAGACATTCCTATTCATAAACCAAATGCAGATGGGAAATTATGGACATAATATGTGTGTGTAAAAATTCCCATAGTAACAAAAATGTACCAGGATCTTCTGTACAATTTGAACAATTTTAATTATTTCAATGTAAAACGGTAACAACAGCATCTACTATTATCAAGACCTCAAAACGCCCTATGAGCATTGCAGGCAAGAAAAGTATGCTTCATTACGTTATATATGCATTATGTTTAGCCTTTTTGTAAATATTTTCTCACATTTATTCGAAATGAAAAGAAGCCTATCGCATATTAAAATAAAGTGAGAGATATCACGTTTTAAATACATTTACTACCTTTATACAATCTAATAATAGTATAATGATAATATAATAGTAATTTATAACATCTTTTTATCAATTACAAGAGCTGCAGACGTCCATAATATGAAAGCATTTTCTCCTTGAGTTAAAAAATACACTTTAGAATATTTTTTCATACAAATTCTGAATAATGCATTGCAGTACATTGATCACGAAAGTTTGGAAGCAGGTGCTTCAGTCAGAATATCCAACTGCTGCACAATGTTTACATAATGCGTATCATAATGTTTATTTTTTCATTGTGAAACCAACCAAAAATAAACAATCGAACAGGTGAAACTCATATTTTAATATAAATAAATGTCATGCTACAGGTAACTTCACCTGATATCATTACTATCGGTATGTTTTGGAGAATAAAAAATAATTACTTACAAACTTTGTTAACAGTTTAATAAAGAATCTGTGCTCTTTGAACACGCAAAACGACTTTTTAAAACAAAATACGCTAAAGGACAAAATATATTTGGGATGTATTCAATTAATGAAATGTTCGATGAGATTTTGGAGGGATTCTTCATTTTTCAAGAAGAATATTAAGGTGTATCAGTGGAGGCTTAACGTGCCAGCCTAATGTGTTCCATACATATTTTTGTTCGGATTCAGAATCGCGGAGCGTCGTCAGTTTGTTCTTTTACTCTCCTTTAAGCATCAAGGTAAGGTACCTTGAATGAGTTTGGGCTTTGCCATGCATACTAGGAGCTAAATCACTGATGGCAGCAATATATAAGATGCAAACAGGGGTTTACGAATTTCATCCCTATACATCTGAGCCTATACATCAGGCCTATTTGGAATGACATACAGTTAAAACGTAATCTTTCTTTGAAATGTGCTGACTGTAGCAGATGCCACATTTTCTACAGATCAGATATCGTCTATTATCCGGTTTTAGGCTGAATTTGGACTCATTATAAAAGACAATGTGGCTCCAACCGACAGATCTTAAATCTACGTTCTTTAGCCTAGTTTCATCAAGCAATGGTCTTAAGCTCATATTGCATTATCTGAAAATAGCTGACGAGCCGAAATTGCTTTCAATTAAATGAAAACTTTTATCAACATAGTAAAGAATATTTAAATTTAATTTTAAGTTTGCTTTAAATTTTAAATTTGCCTAAATAATTCTGAATGCATGCATAAACATTTGTAATAATAACTTGAACGAAAAAATTAAAATTTATATTTTCTATCTGAAATTTAAAATTCGGCATACCTGCAGGAAATTTTTGTTGGTTTCAGTTTATAATTCAAACAAATTGATAATTAAATATTAGTTTTATAGTCATACTGATATTTCTTTCAAATAATTTTAATATGTTTAATTAATCATTAAATGAATTACTTTAAATTAAACTAAAAATAAAAAACTATGAAAGCTAAGATTTCAGAGAAAATTTTCCAAGTGGGACACAGCATGATAATAAATAAGGTCACCTAGTCTCTTTTTTATGAAATTTTTCTTCATAAAAGTAAAAATATCTATGTTTGTATGTAAATAACTATAAACCTTTTTTTATTCCTTACTAGAACTTAATACTTGATGGCGTCAAGGTTACGATAAAAATTTGTAATCTTGGAGAAAAGTTACTAGAAATAACCTTTATTTTAGATGCTTAATGGTAATCGAATTGATTTTCAAGCGCGAATAAAAGCTGTTCACTTATAAATGTCTTCTAAAAAAAAGCGACATTTTTTAGAACAAAAATCGTAACTGAACATATTTATTTTTGACAAGTATGAATAGTTAGCATATTAGTAATAGTTAGTTAGTCATAAAAGTCTAAAAGTTATACAGAGCAGTATCTTTAAGTCTTTGAATAAGATTTAAGTCACTGAGGAAATTATTTAGCTTCATTTATAGATTTTTTGGAGCTTTATTTATGTTAATTTTTAATGGTAATAAAAATAACGTAAACTCGGACTTCAAATAACTAAAATAAGTTGAAACCTTTTGCAGCACAGCAATGTCAAAAAGTATATAATTGAAATGTATCCACGGACCACATGAAATTACTTCGGGGGTTAACCAGTTTGAAACTACTGACTTATGGTATTGGAATACCATTGGGATATAAAAAATTGTAGCCATTTGGGCATACAATTCGTATGTGTGAAGGCGTTCTGAGAATGTACTTCTTGATGCCTTTGAACGTGCCTCTGCAGTTGGCATTTTGGCAGATGTTCCGAATGGCTATTATTGTCAAATAGTGGTTATTATATGAGATGATAACTCATCAGAGATCTCTTTTAAAATATCCTGAATTGCTTGAAAAGAAAGAGAACTTCTGCTTTTAGTTGGATTGAATAACTTTTCATATGTCTAATGAGACAACGTCATTTTTCTCAGATTTTTTTGCTCCCTGCCCAATTAAAAAAAAAAAAAAAGACTCCACGTTCGGTTTCTTTATTTCTCAAAGTCGGATTTTCTTATGCGATGGATCTAAAAGTACAGCTTTGTGTAAGCAATCCACACTGTATTGATAAACTTAAACCAAAGCGTTAAACCACACGTTAAAAGGGTGGCCCCAAATTTGGAACACGCATATGTGAATGTATTTAAAGAAAAGGACCCATATTTTGAACATTTACTGTGATGATGCTCGGAATTTTGCCATTTTGTTTCTCACAATAATCCTTCTCTCAGTTTTGTTGATGTATATAAATTGGTTAATTTTATTATTTTTCTAATAAAATACTTTTGTACGGTGCTCTCAAATTTTCGATGTTTCTGTGGTTTGCTGTTGGTTTTGTGAACCACAGCAAAAACGACTCGGTATGAACTAATTGCATTCTTTTCGCTAGTGTAATAGTATAAGATTCTCAATAATTACTGTGTGTATCGCTGCAATCTTTGCAAGTACAAATAATGCAATATACATTCTAAGCATGATACAACAAAATGAGTTTTTTTACTTCTGAACTAATATTTAATCAAATAAACAGGTACCAGTTTTGTGAAACAACTTTTGTACATTCATAAATATAAAACGCAGTAATAAAATAATTTACTAAATAAATAATGTACTCAAATCTTTTTTTATGCGATTTTTTGGTGCGATTTTTTTTGTGCGGTATATGAAAATTCCAATCAAACTGGAACATAATTGCTGAAGCTACCAATAAAAATAAAATTAAATAAATAATCAATTAAAAAAAGGAGTTTCAATCTTGTACATCTGGCTACCGAGACATATACAAGCGTCTAGTGAAACAACAGTCGTAGCAGAAACTGATCACCAACTATGGTAACTGAAACAAAAAAGTCATAACTGTATAGCTACTCGTGATGTTTTGTACTATTTTTTTATGTGGCCCCTATCCACCGCACAAAAACAGGTTTGAGTGTATTAAATTGTTCTACTCTATTAATACATAGAGGGCAAAATTATGTCCATTATATTTTAAGATCCATAGAATTTTAGAACAAAATGTGCAGTTCTGAACTAAGTTATCAAAAAATACTTTTTTAACCATTTAAATATTTATATCACTCTGGAAACTCTTACTTGTTATTAAACTACATTCAAACTTACTTGAAATATAGCGAAGAACATAATTATATTATCTTTTAATAATAAGCAATATTTTTATTGAAATTGATAATGGTATTGTTTTCCTACATTTAACGAAATCTAGTTTTTAATTTAATGCTTTAATTAAAAAAATATTTACTAGTAATTATAAGAAAATCTTGTACATCTGAATGAGGTGTTGAAATTTTGAATCAAGTTACAATATTTACCTCGTCTTCTTTCAGCTGGAGAAAGATCAGTAATGGAAATTGTTACTTCACTACTTCGGCCGTTGTTATTAGAAGCATAGACCTTTAAAACATAAGATATGCTTAAAGGCAGATTACTAATATTAAATACAGGCCATTGATTGTTCGTAAAATTATACACAATTTCCTCTGTTTCGATGTTGTATACTTCAAGATGAAAAATTTGCGATTGACTGTTGCTATAACCTGGCTGGCATTCCACATAGAGAAGCCCTGCTGTCTCATTCACCACTAAGCAATGAAGAGGAGGCTTGGGAGGAACTGAAAGAGATAAAATTTTATTGTATTACTTATTTAATTCATAGCTATTTCTTATTCATTACAGATACTTCCGAAAAAACAAATGCTGCATTTACTTAAATTTTTATGATCTTATATTTTGAGAAATGTGAAATCTATTGGTTTTCGTACTAAAAACTATCAACAATAAATAACTACTTAAATATTCACAAATTTTTGTTTGTAACATGGAAAATAAGTTAGACATCTTAGTAAATGACTACTTACAGATAGCAAAATTTTGCATAAGCATAAGTGCTGCAGATGCAAGGTTGCCTCTTTGCATAAGTATTCTTAAATACTCGTATGTATGGAAAACGCTGTGCTCAATCTCCGAAACTATTTAACAAAATACTAATTCAGAAGTCAAACAACAAAAATCAGCGTTATACCTACAAAATTTTCACAGGACTAGTTTCGATGGTTTTACCGACCATCATCTTCAGCTGCAAAACCCCCGAAAATATTATAATGATTAGATAAGATAGAATCCTGACAAAAAAGCAAGTGGCGCTCTCTGTTGGCGCCCAGAACTAACATAATTTCTCTAAAACCGAATGCAAATTTGGATTGGAATTAGGATCGTTAACAGAACAGAAAGATTTTTTGACTGGAAATGCCTCTAGAAATCCAGTTCTCAATGAAGATGTTTTGAATTTTGGCGCAAACAATTGAGTGTGATTTTCGGACCAACATGTGAGCAACAGAAGACCTCTGTGTTTTCCTTTTTTAACAGTGCTCATGTTCTTTGACGCGCAATTTTAAGGCTCTTTAGTTTGGCCAAGTAAATTCCCACCCGGCAAGACCTATAAATCCCCAGGATTCATATCCGGATGGGGTCCTTGTATAGAAGTTGGAATTTTATTGATGGGATAAAAACAGCCGAAGTTAAATTCTGCAAAATAGTGCAACTTTATATGTGGCTTTTAGTGTGTTTAGATGAGAATTTTTTAACTGTTGATTATAATGTTGGGTGAAAACCCCTGTCAATAGCTATTGCTTTTAAATTTTAGTTTTCATCAGGGCTAGTCGGAGGAGCAAACTTGAAAGCACGGAAAACATAGAAAAAAAGCTAACTTTTGTTTAGTCGGTGAGAGATTAAATGTGGTGGGCAAACCGATGAGGTTTACGGTAAACTGTATACTGAGTTGGATGTGTTCCGTGTGACCAGATGTCGAGAAACGGAAGAGAATTGCAAGTCTCAAGTTCACAAGTGAACTGAATAGCAGGATCAATAGAATTCATTGTTGAAAGAATTTATTTAATTATCTTTTTACCTTCAAACAGGGTAAAAGTATCGTTACGTAGCGGAACCATGCCGGGCAAGTTTAAAGTTTCAAACAATTTTGATTCATATAATGCATGTATATCAGCCAGGATGGGACTGAGGGGACTTCCCATGGCTAATCCCTCAGTTTGCTTGTAATATTTATTTTGGAAAACAAAATGGTTTGTTTCAACAGAGTTGAGTGAGAGAAATTAGCTCATCAATTTCGATGCAAGAGAAATGAAATTCGCGAGTCTGTTTCTAGACATCTAATCACCTCCCTGGGACATTGGTGAATAATGATTTTACATCAAAAAACCTGAGTAAATTACTAGAGAAATGTTTTTACCTTTTTTACAACTCTATTGAATTTTTTATGGTAATTTATTGTTATAGAGTGGAAAATCTAGAACTAAATATTTAGCTAAAGGATACGAGGCAGTCAAATTTGTACAATAGGGCTGAAAATCCTCTTTTATGAATTTTGGAAGGCATCTAATCTGGCACAATTCGCAACAGATGGGATAAGCGACTGTTTTAAGTTGGTTGAAAGGATTTTGTGAGGATTTGATCACAGTTTTCATTTTTGACAAATGCTAAGGTGAAGGATCTGTAGGGATCGAATTATATGGTCCCTCATTTAAGTGTTTAGTGACACCATCGATGTAAGTCGTTTTATCCTTGACGACTATCTGGTCACCTTTGTCAGCTTCTGAAATGATTAATATCGGGGTTACAATGAATTTCACGCATTGTAGCTCTTTCTCTCACATTTAGATTTGGCTTCAAAGGTTTATTATTGAATTTCACATTATGAGTGGTAAGATGCCTAATCATTTCTTTCTGTGAATCAGAAACTTTACTGGACCTGAAAGCTTTTTCGATAGGAGCCAAAATTTGGAATCGAGGTTTACAGGTTTTGAGAAGTTAAAATTATATTTAGAATTCTCTCTGTTCTTCTGAAGACTAACATTAGAAATTAACTAGGCTTGATGTTTACAATGGGAGATTTTGAACTAATGTTCAAAACTACACTGTTGTTTATTCTGGTTTCGCCAACAATGGCGCCATTGCTTATTCTTGTCCCAGGCTTTCTTATCATTCTAATCATTATTTCCTATCTTGTTCATTTGCGGTTTGCAGCTGATATGATGGTTCGGAAACCATCGAAACTAGTCCTTTGAAATTTGTAGGTATAACGCTGATTTTGTTGTTTGACTTCTGAATTAGTATTTATTCGGCGTGTTATTGTGTCTTAATTATTTAACAAAATGTTTAAAGATTTCGTTTACATCCGTATTGTAGTGCAGAGTTCGTCGACTTGGCGAAGTTGATTAAGTTATACTTCGATCCTAATAAAAATAATAGTAAAAATTAAATAAATAAATTGCTGTATAGTTGCAAAATTTATTTACAGCAGAAAGTTATCTTCTTAATTGCTTGCACTGTCGCTAGTGGAAGCCTAATTTTCTTCAATTGTTGGTGCCGTTGTAATTTCGGCTTTGCTTTGGCTTTTGCAAAAACATTATTAATTTTGTCTAAACTTCTTTGATTTCCTTGCACGAAGTAAAGAGGAAGTATTGCAATCACGAAAAATTTCGGGTATCATTTTTCAACGAAAATATCCATTTTGACTGCTATCGAATGCAATAACGATGTTTTTGCGTGACATCTGTACTTAAGGACAGAATAAAGGACTCATTTTCCTCCAAAAAATTATGAAACTGATTTAAAATGAATTTTGAAGAGATGTTTTCGTGGCGTCTATACGTACGTATGTATGTATCTCTCCTACTCAAACGATAGCCTCAGACTTGAAATTTTGTATATAGGACTGTTATCACATGTAGATTTGCACCTCCGACTTTGTTCCAATCGGCCGCACCAAGAAAATATAAATATATGTATCAATATATCCACTCTGTTACTCGGCTGAGTAAGCTCAGTGTCTTTAAGTGTGTAAATTGTGCATTTTTTTCTTTAAAAATGATTGAATTATGCTGTTCTTATCTTCCGGTTAATGTTTTTATGCCTTTAGTTAACCCGCATGCGATAATTGTGGAATGATCACAGTTTAAAAAGATTTTTGTGCAGCTAACCTAATTACTTCTTGTACGAAGTAAAATGGGAGATGTAGTCGCGAAATTTCGGGTATAATATTTAAAACGAAAATATCCATTTGACCTTTACGAATGCAATTTATCGATGTTTTTGCGTGGCAGCTGTACGTGAGGACCGAATAAAGGACTCATTTTCCCCCAAAAAATTATGAAACTGATTTCAAATGAATTCTGAAGAGATTTTTTCCTGGCGTACGTACGTATGTATGTATCTCGCTTAACTCAAAAACCAGTAGCCTCAGAAAGTTGAAATTTTGTATATTGGACTGCTATAACATGTAGATGTGCACCTCCTATTTTAGTTGCAATCGGCCGCACCAAAAGTATGTAGATATATATCCATACTGTTACTCAGCTCATTGAGCTCAGTTTCTTTATATGTTTGTAAATAGCGCATTTTTTGCTTTAAAAATGACTGAATTATGTTGTTCTGGTTAAGATTTTTATGCCTTTAATTAAACTGCATGCAATAATTAAAAACATTACACTGAATTATCAACAATTTAAAAAAAAATTAAATGCGGCTAAGCCTAATTTTTGATTTTCATAGCGGTCATGTTTGTTTACATTTGAAACTTAGCAGAATAGTGGATTTGTTGCCAATCTAGAGAAACTAAGCTTCGTAACAACAAATTAACGTCTTCTTTTATTTTTGCAAATTAGATTATGCTTAATCCATTCTGATGGAATTATCATTTAAGTAATTAGCTTGTTTTGCGTAGAAACTGTAATTGTAAAAAGTGTTTTTTTTTAATTGTTTCAATTGTACTTGGTGTTTTATGTTTTTTTATATATTTAAATTTTGAATAAAATTATTTTGAATTTTTATGTATTTTTGCCTTGCCACGAAGTGAGAACTGAGTTAATTAGTAGCGCATGCGCATTAGGTAAGCGGCACTGAATCGTCTGTGAAAAACTGCTTCTTTTATATTTGTTTAATTTCTTTTATACATCGTTTTAGATTTATTATTGTATTTGAATACAACATGTGGTCTTTCTTCAGATGATATAATTTTTGTGCACTCCGAGTTATAAAATGAATGACAAGTAACACCGTTAAGTAAACCTAGCGCCGAAGTGTATTCATGGCTTCCAACTGAGCAAGAAGTCACTGATTCAGATAATTTCTTTGTGCTAAATATTATTCTGGTTTAATATCCTCATCTTCTTTTTCTGTTTATCTTCTTTATTTTCTAATTCAACTCTCATTAGTTAGTTCCTTACACTCTTGGTCTTAACAAGAGCTCTATATTTTTAACTTCTCAATAAGAGGAAAGTTGTTTAGCAAGTTTAACAATATTTTCACGAATTGTTTCGAGTTTGTTCTTTTTGTCAAAACATTCGAATTTATAAAAAAGCTTAACACACGTTGCCAAAGGTCATTCATGCAGTTAACTGTAACACCTTCACAAACAGTAGGAAGAATTTTAATCTATTTCAGAATACCATATTGTTTTCAGAAATTACACAATGAAAGCCGAGAGTCTGTATCAGTCATTGCAATAGGCTGGAAAAATGTAAAACGTAGTTAATCTGCCTTAAATATAGCAATGCAACCTTTATCCATTAGCCAATCATGTATTTGGGGGACAAGA